TTCCAAGATTTTAGCTTTCCACATTCTGAATTCAAGATTCTGGCCGATTTCAAGATTTTAGCTTTATAAAATCCTGATTTCAAGATTCTGGCCGATTTCAAGATTTTAGTTTTCCAAAATCCTGAATTCAAGATTTTGGCCGATTTCAAGATTTTAGTTTTCCAAAATCCTGAATTCAAGATTTTGGCCGATTTGAAGATTTTAGCTTTCCAAAATCCTGAATTCAAGATTTTGGCCGATTTCAAGATTTTAGCTTTCCAAAATCCTGAATTCAAGATTTTGGCCGATTTACGGATTTTAGCTTTCCAAAATCCTGAATTCAAGATTTTGACCGATTTCAAGATTTTAGCTTTCCACAATCCTGAATTCAAGATTTTGGCCGATTTCAAGATTTTAGCTTTCCAAAATCTTGAACTCACGATTTTGGAAAGCTAAAATCCTGAGATCGGCCAAGATCTTGAATTCAGGATTGTGGAAAGCTAAAATCTTGAAATCGGCCAAAATCTTCAATTGAGGATTTTGGAAAGCTAAAATCTTGAAATCGGCGAAAATCTTGAATTCATTATTTTGGAAAGCTAAGATCTTGAAATCGGCCAAAATCTTGAACTCAGGATTTTGCAAAGCTAAAATCTTGAGATCGGCAGAGATCTTGAATTCAGGATTTTTTAAAGCTAAAATCTTGAAATCGGCCAAAATCTTGAATTAAGGATTTTGGAAAGCTAAAATCTTGAAATCGGCCAAAATCTTGAATTCAGGATTTTGGAAAGCTAAAATCTTGAAATCGGCCAAAATCTTGAATTCAGGATTTTGGAAAGCTAAAATCTTGAAATCGGCCAAAATCTTGAATTCAGGATTGTGGAAAGCTAAGATCTTGAAATCGGCCAAAATCTTGAATCCAGGATTGTGGAAAGCTAAAATCTTGAAATCGGCCAAGATCTTGAATTCAGGATTTTGGAAAGCTAAAATCTTGAAATCGGCCAAAATCTTGAATTCAGGATTTGGGAAAGCTAAAATCTTGAAATCGGCCAAGATCTTGAATTCAGGAATTTGGAAAGCTAAAATCTTGAAATCGGCCAAAATCTTGAATTCAGGATTGTGGAAAGCTAAAATCTTGAGATCGGCCAAGATCTTGAATTCAGGATTTTGGAAAACTATAATTCGTAAATCGGCCAAAACTTTAAAATCAGAGTTTTGGAAAGCTAAAATCTTGAAATCGGCCAAAATCTTGAATTCAGGATTTTGGAAAGCTTAAGAGTGGCTGTCTGTAAGGATCGAGAATCGGCGGTCAGCGACCCATTTGGCGAATCCCTGATATTTTGCCCAAAGCTAGCCTTGGGTAGACTATTTTCAAAAATCATATTCAAAAGTTCCAACGATTTTGTTTATTCGTGAAAATTGAGAAAAATTAAAAGTGCGCAGTCAAAATGCGGTCAGAGTGCGGTTTTTTGGTTGATCAAAGGTGCGATGATGAACCTCCGCTGAAGTCTTAAAATGAACCTAGTTGACCTCAAAAATAACAAGAATTTCAAAGCAATCAATCTTCTACACTACCAATGTTTTAATCTTTCAAATATGATAGTACAATGGTTTTTCAGGCCATTTAGAAAAACACCTCGGAGACCGCCTGATAGCGCAAATGTAGCTAATATTCATCAGGATAAAATGTTCCTGGTATGTCAGTTTTAACACTACATTGCAGAGCTAAAATATAGCTCTTAAAGATTTTACCAAGTAAAGTTTCTCGTCGAACTCGAAACGCTTCCCTTCGAAGGAATCGGAAGTCTGAGCAATATCAACGTGCAAAATGGCGCTGGATTTATAACAAACATCTAACATTATAGTTACAATCACTTGCGTTAAAATATATCAAACCTAAATTTACCTTTTGACAATTTTGTAAGTTTAAGCATTGCAGAGCTAAATATAGGTCTTAAAGATTTACCAAGTAAAGTTTCTAAGGTCTATCTCAGTACGCTTTTCTAAGAGACAAGTCAGTTAACTGTTTGTAGCATATTATCAGCGCTTGTCAACAAACATTAAAAACATTTTTTCTCGTCCTGTCACTGATCAGAAGGGTATTCTTCTGTATCTTCTTTTCGTTTGAAATTCACAAGTCGTTTTTTAGATTGTTAAACGCACAAAACACATTTGGCCTCTCAGACCTAAACAGTTTCAAAAAGAAAGATCGGTTGAAAAGAATTCTAACCCCTGCATATCCGGCAAGACTGCTCTGGAATTTTTACTTCAGTTATCAGATCTTCCTAAAGCGCTGCGTATCCTGTAAATGCAACCTTGTTTCGATGTCTCAAGCGCTCAGGATGCGAGCAATACAGTACTCCAAATATTTTTAATACTATCAACTCACGACTCTTTCGTTGAATTGCACAGAAGTGAAAAGGAGTTAACAAAGTAATCCGAACCCAAACAAACAAAGACTGCACTAATTCGGCGCTATTGTAAAATTGGCACTGACACTCAGAATGACTGAAACCGAAACGAAATTTACATTTACCTTTTCTTTTCTCCATTTTAGTGTCCACCATTGTAAACTTTCAGTAAAACACATCAGAGGCTTTAAAGTTCATATTCAGATCCATTTGCGGCGCTTCTCGAATGCGTGTATGCTTTGCGAAATTTGTACCAGAAAGTCACGCATCAAAGTGAGCACACCCTGTCACTATTGTGCAACAACATTTCGCAACACGTTGAAAATACAGCGTTGGTCATATATCCTTGTTTAACCTGGTCTCATCTTTTTTGAATGCGGCTCACTGTACCTACAGTGCTTCTAGGTTAGGGTCACCCCCTTCCCTTCAGGGCACACACCTGCAGGTCAGTCCACAGATTATCCTGGTCAGCTGAATGTATTGCGCTCAAAGATTGTACAAAAGATGTAACTGGCCCTTTAAAGACCTTTAAACCTCAGCGCAGATGAGGGTTTAGGATCTGAAATAAAGTTGTTGTTAAATAGAGCAGGTAAATACTGCACCCTAAAATATATAATATTTTGGTCTTTTTATCAGCTATATTATTATTATACGTTTTACTTTTTATCATCATGCACTTGAGGGTGGTTATTCTCAACAAATTCTCCTTCTAGGGTTTTTCTGTGGAAGAACATCACATTCCTTGAGCATTTGTCCAAGGCACAGGGCTGATTTTCGGCATCCGCTGGAGGAGGGAAGACCATGTGTACATCCCCACAGTGTGCCCAAAGAATTAGCAGTACATAAAACTAACTGCTGTAAAGGGAGCCACCGAGTGGATAGCTTGAAGTCGGCGTTTATTTTCAAAACCACGAACACATGTATCCCAGTTGATCACGTAAGTTGTAAACTTTTCAAGTGAAGATTGGTTAGATAATGGTAATTTTCACGGTTAAGAATCACATATAAGGTGGCACACAAGGCGAGGAGTTTGCTAGCACTCTATTAAAGAAACAGTAAGAAATTTCCACGAGACAGTGACAAGAGAGGAGAGAGCGTGCAAGGAGAGGGAAAGGCGCTTTAAGATGTATTAATCATCACGTGTCGCTTGTTTGTATTACGCAGGGGTCATTTTTACTTGGGGTGCGGGTAATCCAAGCAATAATCTCCTTGCAGTCCCTCATTCAAAATTATTGGTCTGGCGGGCAGGAAGTTCTCTTTTCTATGTATGTTTTAAATGTATTTGTTTATACAGTATATTGACATTAATTTCTGTTCGTCTGTTCATTTTGTGTTGCTTTTGAGTTTCTCCATTTAAAGCAATTTGTAAACAATGCAACGAGTATATCAGCAACAGGCCATGCCCAACCAAACCTAGTGTTTGCTTCCAGGTGGGTGGAGTTTGTCCCTCGGGGTCTCGTAATCTGCAAGAGTTACCTGAGCCCCATTTGTTGGTAAGTAGTAATAAGAAGCACTAGTGTAAATGGTTCGCTTTATGGTTCCTTTAACGATGGTATGCAATGTTTTCTTCCAAAAAGAAATTCATCATCAGCCCTTCATTTCTTTTAATCCGTTTTTACTTTAGGGATTTTTCATTTCTTTCTTTCTTTCTTAACGGGTTTGTGGGTGTTATTATGAACAAAATAAAACAAAATAAACGTTTTATCATGCTTTGTAGTACTATAATAATATATTTGTTTGAACTACTTGTAGACGGGAAACAGGCCGTTCAAGTGCAGTGAAACAACTAGTAGTGAGTTATCGTCCGATGACCTTGCAACTGAACCAAGGCTGGCAGGCTGGAGATATCGTCAAGAGGGCGGGATGATGAGATGTCCTCAGTCCGATACCGGAAGTCTTATCGCACGGAGTGACGAGGCCCAAACCACTGCGTAAGAAATCCCAAAAGTTGAACCAATATCTGGTTTCGAAGAACATCCCACAATAACTCAACCCTGGATGGAATGGGATAAAGCTGGAGAGAGCACTAGGAGCAATACGTAATCGAACGGAAGTACAACAGTGGAGATCTTTCTTCAGTCCCATAAGATCTTACACCCAATTATGCAGGTTCTCTTTTGGTTAAGGGTTCACCCCAACCCCGCCATGAACAAAAGCTTCAAACTTGATGAATTATCACAAACGTCCAAGAATTATCTTCAGGCCTTAGCAGAGGCATACGGTAAAAGCTCAAGGGTGGGAGATTAAGAAGGCAGATCTTGTCTATCGCGTCATGCCAGTTTCAAATGATGTCGATTTATACCAGGCTTAATTCAGATATCGCTATAGCTGGGCCAACCTGCATCGCTTACAGTATGGTAGAAGGGGTTCTGCTAACGCACCACCTTCGCTGAGGATAAAGGTTGATTCAGTTAACTTGATTCATTTTTATCGTATATAACAAGTCCGCATTTGGTGCAGGATCTACCATTTGGGCAGAAAACGTTGAAACTCTCTTCTGGCCACCTGGTTGAGATACCAAACGTCATAAGGACGATCATACCCCAAAGAATAGCACGTCAGTACGCTCAGTACTGCCACGAAACTGGCTTTAAACCATTCAGTGAGCGTACTATGCTTCGTGTATTGGAGGAATGCAAGGCCTCGGTCCAAAAATCTCTCCAAGGACTTGACTACGTGGCCGCAGACGGTGCGCGTGCCTTTGAAGACTTAGAGAATTTAGTCCGCCGACTTGGAGAGCTCGGTCTCGGGAAAGAGTGGGAGTTGCAGAACGTGGAATTGCTCAAGGGTTCAAAATTATACCTTAAAAGTGATTTTAAGGTAAGGCTTAATTAAAAATAATAATACCGTATTTTTTCGAATAAGCGCCCAACCTCGAAAAAGCGCCCACCTCGATTAGGTGCCCAGCCTCGAAAAAGTGCCCACCCCCTTTTCCTCCCACGCAAACTAAAATAAGCGCCCACCACCACCCCACCCCTTCCCCCCTCTAACCCCCCGAAAAATAAAGTACTCAAGAGACTTCTTCGAAGGCGGAGTTTTCTTCAGAGTATTTTACAGAAACCTTTTGTTACATCTTCGCGTTTGGTACTACCATTTATTGTTTTGTTACAAAATAAACATACTACTTTTGCTGAAAATGGTGAAAATTTAATAAGCGCCCAGCCTCGAATAAGCGCCCACTCTCAAGGTCCAAAAATTTAATAAGCGCCCAGGGCGGTTGATCGAATAAATACAGTAATTGGAAAGAATTTAATCATTCTTTACAAAGACTTTAAGTATAAAATTTAAAGAATGATTTTAATTGTCACGATTTGTCACAATAAATGCTGTGTGTTTTAAACATCTTACAGGTCCACGTGTGTTCTTCATCTGAGATTGCGAGTCATTGCAGTGTGTTTGCCTTAAGTGACTCCACCAGTCCTGATCTGCAGCAGCAGTGTAGCCACAAACACGAAGAATGCTGTGAGCAATGTGAGATCCTGCACTCAACTCTTCAGAACATTTCCTCTGCAGTAGAAAGAGCATCGTTTGCCACGCAAGATGACAAAGAAGAGGCCCTGTTCTTAGTCAACGCTTCTGTGCTTGCCATCCAGTCATGGAAATGTCATCTGCTGAGGTCGGCTCACCAGGACCAGGCTCGTTTGGACGCTATCGACGCTCTTGATCAGGAGACAGTTTTTATCGTCAACGACTGGGCGATGAAGTTTCTTCCTCATAGATACCGTGAGTCCCAAACGGACTGGTTTGGCAAGCGTGGGTTATCATGGCACATATCGGTGGTGTACAGACGGAAGGAGGAGGAACTACAGTGGCAAGCCTTTATCCACGCAGTTCAGTCCTGCAGCCAGGGGAGTTCAGCTGTGGCATCCATAATGCATCATGTCTTGGAAACACTCAAGCACGAGCACCCTGAGATAAACAAAGCCTACTTCAGACAAGACAACGCAGGCTGTTACCACTCCACTCGCACGATACTAGCATGCAGAGAGATGGCAGCGAGCACTGGAGTAAAAGTAGTCCGCGTAGATTTTAGCGATCCCCAAGGCGGAAAAGGGGCAGCAGACCGGCTGGCTGCAAGCTGTAAAAGACATATCAGGGCGTTTATTGATGAAGGCAATGATGTTTGCACTGCCGATGAGCTTAAAGACGCATTATTATCGCATGGTGGATTGAAAGGTGTAAGAGTTGTTTCCCTTGATACGATCATCGAAACACCTGACAGTGGGCAAACTATTACTGGCATTACAAAACTGAACAATTTTGAGTTTAGCTCTACAGAGTCTGTTACCTGTTGGCGTGCGTATTGTGTTGGTCGCGGAAAAATCATCAATCCAGGATCTTCATCAAGTAAGTATGGGAATTAAAACTAAAAGTGAGCTACTGAGAATTAATGTATGAGTTGTCGCTAAATTTAAGTTCTGTATTAAAATGCAAAAGTGTAAGACCCTTACTTTATTGGAGAACCTTACCATACAATAATTATCTGCAAGTACATGTATCAGATATCTTTGGAGTCCCACGCAATATTCTTGGTTCTGATAAATGAAGAAATGATTGTCGCAGTTGTAAGAGCAATTTAAAGAATTACCATTTTGTTCAATTTTTTGGGTGGCTTAAACGGGAAAACCCATAACTTCTACGTACGTTAGCGCGGCAGCGCTCTACTAACCGAGCTGTGAATACCCATGTATTGGGAACATACGTTTATTTCTGTCATGTTTGCTTTAAAAACTTATAAATGATTTGAAAAAGAAATCAGAAAACAACTCTTTATTGGTATTAATTTATTTACCTAAGGTCCTCGATACCAAGTACTTCAGAAATCATTCTCCGAAGGAGATTTTACTTCCTTCCGATGTAAATCTGAAGAACAGGTTGGACAGACAGCTTCAACATCAGCAACTGTGGCCGAGCCATCTGGTGGCATTTCTTCGGAAGACAGTGACCTATCCACAGGGGTTTATTCCTGTCCTCAAGACGGCTGCGTTCGTGTGTTCCAAAGAGTGTCTGCTTTAGAGAAACATCTGTCTGTAGAAAAATGTTCCCGATCCCCGGAAAAATATTCTCTAATGGATTTAGCGAAAATGGGGTACAAGACCCATTTGGAAGAAGGTGTTGGCATATTGCCCTCTCTTAAAGCCCCAGTTGCTCACCAGGAGGGTCACTTTGTACCAAATGAGGGATGGGCCCTCAGAGCAGCAAAGAAGGCGTATAGATTCTGCGAAAAGCAAAAGTCTTACTTACTGGCGAAATTCTCTATTGGTCAAACAACGGGCCGTAAGCTTGACGCCGAGGTTGTGGCGAGGGAAATGAGACGCGCCCGTGGAGCAGATGGTGTGCGACTTTTCCAGTCCTCAGAATTCCTAACCAGCTGGCAGATTGCGTCCTTCTTCTCAAGGCAAAGCGCTACACTACGGCAAAAGGACCCAGCAGATGAAGCCGATATCCGGGCATCTCAAGAGGAAGCTAACTTTAGTGCAGCGAAGGAGGTGGTTGAAACTATTCAGCTCAACCATCCTCTGGTATACGATCAGTACAACCTATGTGAGATGGCGCTCAGTGGTAACTTGAAAGTCCTCAAGCTACCGATGCTTCAGCGCTTGTGCGAGGATCTCGGCCTTGATGCACCTGTCCCGCCTGTGCGCAAGAAGGCTCCATACTTGGCACTCTTAGAGGAAATAGCCAAACAGTGCACATGCCGAAAGTAACTCTTTTATTAATAGCTTCCTGGAAGTGTTTTAGCCACAACCAGTTTTATAAAACGGGTTGAAAACGGGGGAGAAGGGTACTCCCTCAAAAAATTGCCAAGGTTCTACTGGTACCTCCTTCCCAGGTTCTCCCTCTTAGGTTGGTACCTTTAAGAGGATGAAATCTGTGGAGTGGTATCGCCTAGGGTTCGACCGCAGCTGTAGCAGTACCTTTTAGGTTTTTTTAACTATGAAAATGAAGGAACTGTTTTGGGGTTGAACTAAAGCCACTTACGTAATGAGAATATTGCGATCAGAGCCGCCTCCACAGGAAGTGGGACTACCCCCTCCTCCCCAAGTCTGAGAGTCAATGACAAAACAAAACAAAACCAAAAAAACAATATCAAAGAAAGCTCCCCTACCGGGATGAACTAATGAAATTCATTTTATAACTGCGTTTAGCAAGACCTAAAACAAAGATCTTACTTTGAAAAATACCCTGCGAAAAAATTTTTACTTCTAAACGTACTCCTTCCCCATCCCCATCGTGACAACAGGTCAAAACGTTTATCCCGCGAGTGGGAAGTTATTGTTGTTGTTGTTTTTTTAATATTATTATTCCTACCGGAGCGTGAAAATAATACTTCGTTTTAGAAAAATACTAATTTGAGCAAAATTAACTCGTTTAAGTTTTAAGACCACGCTGGGTGGAAGGGAGAGGGTAACTGAGATTGCGTTACATTTACTGGACTCGAATATCAACATACGGTTTATGACAGAATGCCGTTTGTTTCGATTTCTTAACACATGTAGCCTCACGTGTTTCAGATACTAAAAACAAAAACTGTTTGAAATTGTGAAAACTAACGTCGATTCAAACTCTCCTGTAGTGAAAAAATGGCTTTCAGCAACGTTGTATGATTAAATACCGCCAAAAGCGATAATGTGGCACTTTGCCGGTTATTATTATTGTCGCGGTAATAACTATTTCCAAAATTTCAACGATCTTTCCAGCAAACTACCTTCGTTTTTTTTAAAGTCATACAATTAATATTTCATTCAAGAAACCTTGGCGAACGATAAATATGTAGGAAAACGTCCTGGATGCATGGATAGTTTGACACAAAGGCGGCTGGTTTAACTGATTTATCAGGTTTGTTTACATTACCTTGCGATAACCAAAGTGGACTATCTACATCAAACTGATCTGTTCAAAGCACTGGATGTGTCTCCTATGAGCTCTTGGATATTTCTATAAGCGGCAAACTTAAAATTGTCAAAGGAAAATTTAGTTTGATATTTTAACGCAAGTGATTGTAACTATAATGTTAGATGTTTGTTATAAATCCAGCGCCATTCTTGCACGTTAACATTGCTCAGAGTTTCGATTCCTTCGAAGGGAAGCGTTCCGAGTTCGACCATGAAACTTTACTTGGTAAATCTTTAAGACCTATATTTTAGCTCTGCAATGCTTAATTGTTAAAAACTGACATACCAGGAACATTTTTGTCCTGATGAATATTAGCTACATTTTGCCGCCATCGAAAGCGGTCTCCGAAGGTGTTTTCTAAATGGCCTGAAAAACCATTGTACTATCATATTTGAAAAGATTAAAACATTGGTAGTGTAGAAGATTGATTGCTTTGAAATTCTTTTTATTTTGAGGTCAACTGATTTTATCTTAAGACTTCGGCGGAGGTTCATCATCGCACCTTTTGATCAACCAAAAAACCGCACTTTGACCGCATTTTGACCGCACTTTTAATTTTTGCCAAATTTCCCAAGTAAACAAAATCGTTGGAACCTTTGAATATGATTTTTGAAAATAGTCTACCCAAGGCTAACTTTGGGCAAAATATCAGGGATTCGCCAAATGGGTCGCTGACCGCCGATTCTCGATCCTTACAGACAGCCACTCTTAAATCTTGAAATCAGCCAGAATCTTAAAAACAGAATTTTGGAAAGCGAAAAACTTGAAATCGGCAAAAATCTTGAATTCAGCCAAGATATTGAAATCAGGATTTTGGAAAGCTTAAATCTTGAAATCGGCCAAAATCTTCAATTCAGGATTTTGGAAAGCTAAAATCTTGAAATCGCCCAGAATCTTGAAATCACGATTTTGGAAAGCTAAAATCTTAAAATCGGCCAAAATCTTGAATTCAGGATTTTGGAAAGCTAAAATCTTGAAATCGCCCAGAATCTTGAAATCAGAATTTTGGAAAGCAAAAAACTTGACATCGGCCAAAATCTTGAATTCAGGATTTTGGAAAGCTAAAATCTTGAAATCGGCCAAAATCTTGACGTCAGGATTTTGGAAAGCTAAAATCTTGAGATCGGCAGAGATCTTAAATTCAGCATTTTGGAAAGCTAAAATCTTGAAATCGGCCAAAATCTTGAATTCAGGATTTTGGAAAGCTAAAATCTTGCAATCGACCAGATTCTTGAAATCAGGATTTTGGAAACCTAAAATCTTGAAATCGGCCAGAATTTTGAAATCAGAATTTTGTAAAGCAAAAAACTTGACATCGGCCAAAATCTTCAATTGAGAATTTTGGAAAGCTAAAATCCTGAAATCGGCCAAAATCTTGACCTCAGGATTTTGGAAAGCTAAAATCTTGAGATCGGCAGAGATATTGAATTCAGGATTTTGGAAAGCTAAAATCTTGAAAACGGCCGACATGTTGATTTCAGGATTGTGGAAAGCTAAAATCTTGAAATCGGCCAAAATCTTGAATTCAGGATTTTGGAAAGCTAAAATCTTGAAATCGCCCAGAATCTTGAAATCAGAATTTTGGAAAGCAAAAAACTTGACATCGGCCAAAATCTTGAATTCAGGATTTTGTAAAGCTAAAATCTTGAAATCGGCCAAATATCTTGACGTCAGGATTTTGGAAAGCTAAAATCTTGAGATCGGCAGAGATCTTGAATTCAGCATTTTGGAAAGCTAAAATCTTGAAATCGGCCAAAATCTTGAATTCAGGATTTTGGAAAGCTAAAATCTTGCAATCGACCAGATTCTTGAAATCAGGATTTTGGAAAGCTAAAATCTTGAAATCGACCAGAATCTTGAAATCAGAATTTTGGAAAGGAAAAAACTTGACATCGGCCAAAATCTTGAATTGA